TGCCACGCCGGGGGCAGAGCTGCACGGCTAACCAGGGTTCGAGGGGAAAGGGAACGCAACACGCACCATGCGAATATTTTTGTCGGCATCCTCCGACTGTTCGGGCAAGAGGTAGAAGGGGGGAACAGTTCTTAAAGTACACCCAGGGAGTGTCAGGATTGGAAGGTCGATCGTCGTGGTGGGAGTACGCTGTTTGTTGCCTCATAGCTGACTGGTGTAATTAAAAACGCCCGCAATTAATACATCCTCGTCATCCGTGGATTTACGTCGACTCTTTCTTTTTTATTGAGGGCGCGTTCGTTCGAGCCCCTACGAATTCCTATTCTCTTTATGTACCATTTGCTCGAATTTAGGATTTTTTCGTACGCAGGATGGAATAACGGTACGAACGAAAGCGACTCGAGTTCGTCGTGTACAGGGGAAATTGATTATATTCGTATATTTGCAACTCGTTCGAAATACAACTCGAATCGTTCTGACGCATCGTGTCTCCGATGATTCTTCGCGACCGGAAAACCGCCATTTTGGTCCTCGTCATTTCATCCCTCCAAACTCTCGAGATTACCTCGGCACAGGGACGTTCGACTCTATGTGAATTCTATCCCCGATAGGTCGTATTTTCGTTTCATTTAATCATTTATCGCGATAGTCCTCTGATACACGATAATTTAACGTTCCCAATCGACATTAATTACTTCGAGAAACGGGGAACAAATATTTCTTGGGTGTCTCGTTTCTATTCTAAGCCATTTGTCAAAAAGGAAATTATACATTGGAGGACCCTTACTATAAGAGAAAGGAATAACCCGACATTCGAGAAACTTTCGCAGCGAGCATCGTTACCGAGTTTTTCTCTGGAGGAATGACGCATTTTTTCGCGTCTTTCTGTTTCACGCCTGTCCAACGTCAATCGCGCTGGGTTTCTAATAATAACCTGGAAAATCGTAAGGACTACCACGCGTACCCCACGATGAGACGAAAGCGTCGGTGGATCGAAAGGTTATTCGAGAGCGCAAGCGCGCCGTACGCGCAAATAGCGAGCGGGTGCACGTCACGGAGATCTGTACGCTGTACTTGCACACGAAGACTCGTATTCGGACACTCGGATACGCAAATGCGAATTGCGTAGCGAATATGCCGGTGCCTTTGCACGCACCTGCGATCATTAATGTCCTTTCGCGTATTCTTCGCAAGTGTCGACCCGCGTGTTTCGGGTCGAAAGCCAAAAAGCCGTAGGTTCGAAAGAACGAAGCCGCGAAACGACACGAGCGATGTGGAACAGTCGAATACTCGACTTCCTGACAAAATACTCGATTGTCAAGCTAGAAAAGAATCGCTTCGATGCCGAGAACAAAGTATGTTAGGTCAACCAAACGATCTGTGGACGATGATTCGTAGCAATCGCGCGTTGTCCACAGCTTTCGGGTGGAATACGGATCCCGACATAACTACGCTCGATTTCGGCAGGAACCAAAATGGCGGAAATCTCGAGAACCTTAGGGAACCTCGTCGCGCCCCGACAAATGTCCGAATCCCAGTCGCGACCACCGAATAGAATAAAGGACCTTTAGCCGCTTTACAAATACGTTTTTCTAATTCCCACCGGGACCGAGCAGGTATGCACCTACCTGTTTATTATTGTCCGTGTTTTCGAGTCATCGTTTTTCTTCGATAGTACCTATTATCTACTATTTGTACCGAACGACATTATAGAGGTATTGTTCTGCTGCGAAACTACGAGAAAGAAACGTGGGTATACGACGCTTTTAACCGTTTCTTTAGGGGCCCTCTCATAAAACCAGACGGTATTTTCGTCAATTTGTTGACCAGATGGGAAATAAAGCTCCGTACGCGCTCGTTAATTGATGTATGCTAAAGAATTGTAAGTCAGAAATGCAGGTATCGGCCCTAAGAAAAAATTTCGGTGGGCCCGTTAAACGACCGTTCATAAAACTGTATCTCGACACGATAGACGAGTCAACGACTGACCTCGTGTTTCATTTTTTCTCTTCGTTCGTTCGTTTGTTCTTCGATTAGCAACGTAAATTCGGAATCTCGCAGCAGGAAACCTTCTCGGGGAGCTAAAAGGTAAAAAGAGCGTTCGCCGAATCGAGAGTCGCCGGCGGTCAGTAAAATTTGGCGTAAAAAACTGATCGAGACCGAAATCTCGACGCATCTCTCGCCACGGCGCGCGTGGAACGAACGTCCGTCCATTTCCTGCGTAATCTAGCGGGTTTTATCCGCCGATCGCCGACCCGTTCCCTCGAGGAGACGATAACGGGCACAGGATTTCTCCGGCGAACGGGTTTGCCCCGCGTTTATTCGACCGAGCGCGGAAATCCATCTCTGGCCACGGTCGTCGAGTACCGATTTCCGTAGCCCCGACGCGGTGTAATTGGTGGTTACGAGGCAGGAGAACGATCCGCGCAGGAAGACGAAGAAGCAGAAGAAGAAGACGGAGGACGAGGATCAGGGATATCGAGCCAGGGGGTCGTTCCTGTATCCGCGTAGAACCGAAGAGGAGCGCGGAAAGAAGGAAAGGAAGAAGAAAGATAGAGCCGTAAGAGAAGGGTGGTGAAAGAAGGGCGAGGTATAGGCGCGCGAAATAGAGGGGAGCTAGTAACCAAGCTGGTAACACCGATGATCGTCGTTGGGGTGAAGGGGGAGTAATCGGACTCGTCGGTGAGCTCGGCGTAGCGTGCTAGTGTCGTTACGTACCACTCGGCGTACCACTCGGCGGAGCGAGGAGGGGTGGCCAGAAGCGCGCATAGCGGAGCGGAGCGGCGCGGAGAGAGAAAGAGAGGAGAGGAGAGGAGAGAAAAACGACTCGTACAGGCAAGGCGAGCAGACAAGCAAGCAAGGCATGGCAAGACAAGGCGAGGCGAGGCGCGGCGCGGTGAGGCAAGACGAAGAGAGACGAGGAGAGACGAGACGAGGCAAGGCGAGCAAGGCAGGCGAGTCGGAGCAAACCGAGCCGCAGGTCAGGCAGGCTAGGCAGGCTAGTCAGGCGAACAGCCGAGTAGAGACACGATACTCGAAGGGGCAGAAAGGAGTCCCGGAACGAGGAAGCGAGACAAGGCGATACAAAGCGAGAAGAGAGCAGGGAACGGGGCTCGGAGAGGAGTAAAACGAAACGGCAGGCGTAGCGAGGAGCGTGTAAAGCCTGGAGGACAGGAGAGAAAGACCGTGGAGGGGGTGAAGGTGGATAGCCGGAAAGGGGCGCGCGGCAAAGGGACGGAGGGACGCCGGTGGTAGGGAGGGGCACGAGGGGAAAGGACATATCCCACCAAGGGGTTTCGGTTTAGTTTGGCGTGAGACGCTGTGCCATTCGGTTCGACCAGCGTACGTTGCCGCGTTCGTCGAGCGTTCGATGTCGTTCATTTCCGCGGTTTAGTTCGAGAAAACGCCACGCCGTATTCCGCGGCGCCGTCATACAGCTCCGTCGCGCTCTTCCGACCGCCCGTGCGTACTCGTTCGTCGTCTCGTCGGGTTCGTTTCGTTTCCTTTCCTTTCCTTTTTTCCCCTTTCGCGAATCTGTCCAGCCTCCGGCGTTCTTTCTGCAAAGAGGCTGCGAGCGCTCGGTCGGCGGTAAGGTGAAAGTAAAATCCCACGTCGGTGGAGCTTAACTCGAATGCCAGGAAATCTGGTGGTACGTCGCGAAATCGCGTACGCATCGGACACGCGACATCGCCGCCGTTGCCTGGACACCCCGCGCCTCGACGACTTCGCAACACCGATATCCCTGAGTTGCGACGGCTCGAGCACCGTAGCGAGCTACGATTTTCGCCACGGTGACGTTCCGCCGCGGACGGTACAACGTCGCTTCGTCTACCCACGGGACCAGTATGCTTCGCCGCCGTAGAGGATAGCGTTAGGCTACTCCGATATTCTCGTACGCGCGTACGACTCTCGTGATCGCACGTAAGTACACGCACCTACACACCGTACCAGCCGATATAGCGATCTCGAGCGAATACGTTTGCGTGCACGTAGACCTACTCGCCGGTTGAATGCTGAGAAACAACAGCGAGAAGGAGAGACAGGAAGGGGAGACACGGAGGAAGCGAGAAGAGAAGAGAAGAGAAGAAAGAGACGGAGAGGGCGGTTTCCTCCATCTTTTTCTCCCTCTCTTCTCTCTGTCCGTCTCGCGGCTCCCGTCTTTCTCGTTATTACTCGTTTACCCCTCTCCTCGGTCTCTCTTCTCCGTCTCTCGTGGCTCTTCCCTCTTCCTTCGTCTCGCACGCGTCTCGTTCCTCGTTTCTCTCCTACTTGTAACCGTGTATTTATGCGTTTTCTCGTATCCGCGCTACCTCGTCTTTCGTCCTCGAAGAGATCGCGTACGAGTTCACGATAAGTACGCGCCACGCGATGGGACAAACATAACGCGAACCGTGTCTTCGAACTCCACGGAATCGTGAGATCGCGAACGCGCCTAGACCTTAGATCTGTCCGTTGTCCGAAATCGGAGCAACGATCCGCGATACACACGAGCGAGGAAACGCTTGTCCGTTTGCCGATTAATCGGCTGGCTCGGCGATCGCGAAACAATGGGCGGGAAGTTGCTGGTAATGGATGAAATCAGGTTCGAAGACCTTTGTCGTCGGCGTGTTCGGCCGATTAATTAAAAGCCGCGATCACCGTCGCGCCGCGATTAACGACGACGAATCGGGAATCGATCGGAAATACGCGAACGCCTTTGGTAATCGCGTGCGATCGCTCGCCGTCGAAAAACGAGTCGAAGGCTCGCGCGAGTCGTCGAGCGTCTCGAGAACGAGAAAGAACACTTTTTCTCGTGGCAAACGGCTACAAAGACCGGCCCCGACCGATCGAACGCCTTTTCTTTCGCGATCTCTTTCGACGGTCGCTAGGTTACTTCGAATCGTGCGCTACTCCGATATTCTCGTACGCGCGTACGACTCTCGTGATCGCACGTAAGTACACGCACCTACACACCGTACCAGCCGATATAGCGATCTCGAGCGAATACGTTTGCGTGCACGTAGACCTACTCGCCGGTTGAATGCTGAGAAACAACAGCGAGAAGGAGAGACAGGAAGGGGAGACACGGAGGAAGCGAGAAGAGAAGAGAAGAGAAGAAAGAGACGGAGAGGGCGGTTTCCTCCATCTTTTTCTCCCTCTCTTCTCTCTGTCCGTCTCGCGGCTCCCGTCTTTCTCGTTATTACTCGTTTACCCCTCTCCTCGGTCTCTCTTCTCCGTCTCTCGTGGCTCTTCCCTCTTCCTTCGTCTCGCACGCGTCTCGTTCCTCGTTTCTCTCCTACTTGTAACCGTGTATTTATGCGTTTTCTCGTATCCGCGCTACCTCGTCTTTCGTCCTCGAAGAGATCGCGTACGAGTTCACGATAAGTACGCGCCACGCGATGGGACAAACATAACGCGAACCGTGTCTTCGAACTCCACGGAATCGTGAGATCGCGAACGCGCCTAGACCTTAGATCTGTCCGTTGTCCGAAATCGGAGCAACGATCCGCGATACACACGAGCGAGGAAACGCTTGTCCGTTTGCCGATTAATCGGCTGGCTCGGCGATCGCGAAACAATGGGCGGGAAGTTGCTGGTAATGGATGAAATCAGGTTCGAAGACCTTTGTCGTCGGCGTGTTCGGCCGATTAATTAAAAGCCGCGATCACCGTCGCGCCGCGATTAACGACGACGAATCGGGAATCGATCGGAAATACGCGAACGCCTTTGGTAATCGCGTGCGATCGCTCGCCGTCGAAAAACGAGTCGAAGGCTCGCGCGAGTCGTCGAGCGTCTCGAGAACGAGAAAGAACACTTTTTCTCGTGGCAAACGGCTACAAAGACCGGCCCCGACCGATCGAACGCCTTTTCTTTCGCGATCTCTTTCGACGGTCGCTAGGTTACTTCGAATCGTGCTCTTCCGCCCGGTAGGGTCGTCGTCTCCCTACTCTCTTTTCTCTGGGTACGCGGGTATAGAAACGACGCTAGAGGGATCAGAGAACAGCTGGGGGTCTAATCTGTAACTCGTATAACGCGCGATAAGGCGGCTAAAGTTTCGCGAAAGAAAACGAGCAGAGAACTGAACCGAAAGAAAGCGCGTTCCACGCGTGTTTCCGTCGAAATAACGATCCCTTAATGAGACTGCTCGTTTTGCTTCTTCTGGCAAAGCCATTCTCGTCGAGCAACGATACGATGTATTACGTTACGCGCGTAAAAAGAGAAACGCGAACGAACAATATAATTGACACGGTGCGTAAGATATTTTAATCGGGTACGAGTCCCGATGTTCGTGATTCGATCACTTTTCTACGTAAACGGGATAGAGTTAACGCTGGCACGGTAAAGCGGTATCGATAACGTCGCGTGCGAGTTCGTTCGTTATCTGTTACTCGTTTAATATCGAAGTAATATGTATCTTACAACTCGGATATTTGCGTTTTCGTCTAAAACACTCGATCCGAGACAAATTAATTACTCGACTTCGAAGTTCGACCTAAAATTCCTCGATAATTTTACGCGGAACTTCCAGCTCTCGACTCGGACTCGAAAGCGAAATTCGCCGCTGTCTGGAACAGCGCGATAGAGCGAACGCGATCGAGGAATCTTCGTTTATCCGAATACGATTCGAATCCGTTTCTGCGCTCGCTATCGCCACTTGCAACGTCGTTTGAGAAATTTGCTTCTTACGGACCGGCTCGTTATAAATAGACGAAGTGCTAGGCATCGCAGAATCCGTGGTGTATACCTAACGCGTACCGATTCGGTGACCGAACGATTCTGTTACTTCCAACGGTTTAGTCGAGCATTTTTCTCGATGCGTCGTTCCGAATCTGGAAAAATGTTGACGCTTTCCCGGCTTAAGACGTCGATCGTTGCGAACAGGCCTTTACTTAGGCGCATCCCTGCATTCGCAACACGTGCTGTACTCGTAGACGATCGTAGCACGAAAGTAAAGTATCCGAGCATGCGGTCGGTTACGGAGCAACGAACTCGAAAATTCGAGACAAAATCGTTAAAGGTCGTTGCTCCTCGCGAATTCGATCTAATCGAATAACTTCGGAAAAGGAAGCGAGGGAAATCGTCGAACATCGTTACCGCTGTACTAGATTTTCGTGGAAGGATCGATAATCGTTGCTGCGATGCCTCGTGCTACACGCGTCCATTTTTGCGAAGGCAGTTAACGCGAGTAGAATGATCGCGACAACGCAATGACGAGCGACGTTAAGAATTGAACGTAATTCTCGACCACTCCTCCGTGCTTCAGCGCCAAGTTTCGTCGATGCGTATGTACCGTAGGTGAAGCGAGTACACGCGGCGCAGCGCGTATTTAGGAAGCGAGAAAAAACGCGATCGAGAAACGCGGACAAAAGTTAATTTCTTGGCAACGATAACGATAGACGTCGTGTCGACTTATCGTGTCGACTCCGCTACGAAATACCGCGATATTCGATCAATACGAGAGAGCAGGTAGGTAGAGAGTATTCGTATTTGTATTCGACGGGTACGCGTTGCACACGCGTTTCATTCGCGTATACGAGCGACGAGGGCTGCTGCCAATGTGTTTGGCGGTTTGACCGAGCCAGCAGCCGAGCAATGGAAAAACGGAAAGGACAATTCCTGAGCGGGGAAAGAGCGAGGATAAAACGCACCCGTATACCTAGCCGGGTGGCTGGAACCCGGTGGAGGGGCAAAGAACGAGGCAACGGGATTCTAGCTACCTGAGAAACCTTCGGGAAAGTGGGCTAAACGCATCGTGACACGGACTTAACCGTCTCTTATGTCGTGCGCGATTCGTCCGCGAAACTTGCGAATTACGAGCGAGACGATCGGTCTTTAAAGAGAAAGAAACGAGCGTCGAATACGCAGCGTTTAACACGCGTTATCGCGACATCTTTTTCAAACTTTCTTACGCCGAGACGAGGATCGAACGTGCCTAGCTCCGTAACGGCCATGCAGGCTACATCTTTGTTTGTCTCGTAATTATGACGCTGTGGCGTAACATCGCGGAAGATCGAAACAATTCGGTTAGGTCACGATGGATTTATATCGTGTACGCACCGTAAGTGTACTCGCGTTGCACCGTGCGAGTTGTTACGGGACCAACCAAGATCCCGTACGTTACAAGTCACTGGATAGCTACATTGTTTTCGATAAAAACGATGAAAAAAAAAACGAGAACTCGATAAGAATGTGCTCCGTAGTCGAATGCGAAGGTTGCTACAGGATAAAAATAGATTCCGTGCATTTATTTTCCTAGATTCTGTGACTTTAACGTTCGAGATCGGTAGCTGCTTCGATAGGCGCGATGAAAAAATAACGAACACATCGTTCTTGTACGTAACGAAGATACTCCGATGTTTCAACCCTTTGTGATTTATTGGTACTTGACTTCGAGCACAATGTTTCGCATGCGAATAAAACTAGATGTCTTTCTTGTTAGAAACCGAAAGGGGTTAACGCGTTGATCCGTTCGATTAACGATAAGGAAAAGAAAGAGTCTCGTTCGGTGATTATTTAGCGTGCGAATATTCTCGCAGACGCGTACAGAGATCGTTTTATTTTTCCTTTGAAGTTGCGGTTTTCTGTCGGATTACTATATATAGGAAACGTGTTTCACGATTACAGGCACCGTCACGGACAGTAGTTCGGTACAACAATAAGAAAAATGTCGGGAGTGGGTAAAAGGACTTACCTTCGCGAGGTAAATCCCTATCTTATTTGTCCGCTGTGCAGAGGCTACCTCATAGACGCGACTACCGTTGTAGAGTGTTTACATTCGTGTAAGTAAATTGAATCGTTGTGCCTGAATTACGAGCCACGAAACATCTAATGATATGCTGTCTTCTCTTTTTCGTTTCATCCTACAGTTTGCAGAAGCTGTATTTTGAAGCATCTCAACACGGAGGCCCATTGTCCTTCTTGCAAACATGTTCTCAACAAAGCGAAACCAAACATCAAGTAAGTTTCCGTCGATTCGAACCTTCGTTGTCCGCGATAACAATTTTCTTCAACGAATTTCGTTTCCAGGGCTGACAAAGCGTTACAGGATATCGTATACAAATTGGTTCCCGGATTGTACCACAAGGAGATGCGGAAAAGAAGAGAGTTTTATAAAAAGCACCCTGAACACGGTAACGATACATAACCTTATAAATTTGATCGCAACGGAAATGCATGCTTTTTCCATGTCTGAACGAATGATTTTCTATGCAGCGGATTTAGCGACACCCGAGCAGCGAGGAGAAGACGTGAGCGGAAGGTTAATCTTCGCCCCGGAGGATGCTGTTAGTTTGAGCTTAGAGTATCTACCACCCGGAGCCGATCCTCTGACCATTCTACTCAGTACCAATGACGATACTAACAATTCCCACAACCAAAATAACGTCTGCGGTAATAACAACGGTACCAGTAACAATGGTAACTACGGGACGAGTACGAGTAACAGGCGATACCTTCAATGTCCGGCGCTGGTGACTATCGCGCACCTGAAGAAATTCTTAGCCTTGAAGTACAGCGTCGACATGACTAGGTACACCATCGAAATTTGTCACCGACGTGCTCCGCTGCCGGA